GCTGTGATCGGGGGAAATTCAGTGGGTGATCGGCGCTCAGCAATCTTTGTGTGTGAACTACTCAACAACGCATTAAAGAGGCTCGCTGACGCCAAACAAATATCTAGCATGCTAAATATCTGGACCGGTCAGCCGACTTGACATCATGTTGGGTCAGGTGTCGCAACAAGCTACAGCCAATGAGAGAGCAAGGCATGGGTTGAGGTCAGCGGAAGAAAAAAGCAGCAGCAACACGGCTTTATGAAAAGTTTGGAGACAAGAAATGGAGATAAATATTTTTCAGAACAAATTATCGCGCAAACAGCTTGCAGTGTAGATTTCTTCCCGATGTTCATTTTCAAATAAACAACTCCTGTTTCATGTGTTGTATTGCATCATTCCCGTTCAACTTCTCGCGTGTGTTTTCATGACAAAACGTGGTTTGGGGACGGGATAGAGTCGTTGGGTGACAGTTGTTGTCAGCTCATGTAGTGTGTGACTCCCTGTTGTGGATCATTTATGTAGTGTTGCGTAGTGTGAACACCACAATGACTTCAAAACAGACAGCAAGTCATGTAGTCTGAACAGCACAGCGATCTGCCTTCATTTAAAGTTGTGTAGTGTGAACTTGGCTTTAGGTCACTTTTTCAAATCTTTTCACAGTGATCACAACAGCAGTCTATGTGAGCAGCACAAAATGCATTCAATGACAACATCTTTCAATTGACATAAATTCCTTTCTTACATAGACTCAAACACCAGCAAAACTGTATGTACTCTAGAGGCCAATTTACACTTTTTTACATCAAAATCAAAATACAAAACTGAGTAAGACAGAAATTTACAACATTTCTACAGTAATACTATTTTGAAATATATTCTGAATCTAAAAAAATCTAATCAAAGCAGTTTCATGTAGCTGAGCACCTACACAAGTGTTACTCTTTCAGTTTCCCAGCTGGCACATGACCGACCTTTAACATTGAAATATGGTTGAAATAATATGTGGTAGTTTCAGTGTTGATATAACGTTTAATGCTAAATTGTTAAAAAAGGTTAATAAACCACTTATAAATCAATGTTGAATTTTTGACAATCTGTATGTTGAATCAACATGATGTCTTCAACAACATACAGAAGAAATTTCTGCCTTTTAAATTATTATTATGATCATTACTATTATTTACATAGCATTTTACAATATTTTGATAATGAAACCTCTGCAAAAACCTACATTTATTTGTTAAGTATAATTATTAGCATTGTTAACAATAGTAATAATGTAGTTTTAGCTGATAGCCATAACTTTTTGCCAATTATGTGATATTGTGTGGACTCGGGGTTGTGAGCTTGCCTACAGTTTACCATGCATTACATTTTTATTCATACACTGTCATGAAAACACCATTTGACCAGTTAAACAATACAGCCTACAAATAAAACTAAGTACACACATTTCACTATGTCACCATGCTGAAACAACTGACCATATGCACAGAGCGTTTTTTAGAACTTCCATATAAAGATAAGCCAGTACGTAAACTTCCAGTGAAGCTCATTTGGTGTTGTGGTATACAAAGGCAGAGACACTTGAACCTCACAGAAACCTCTCCTGCCTCGTTCTGTTCAGAAACTGAGAAACAAAATAATTGCAACATCGTAAAGAATGATAGCGGCATTAACATATGGTTTCATGTTATTTCACAACATAATTTTATATGCCGAGCCTGGTAATCCCAGCAGAGTACCTAGACATGTAATACTGTACATTTAAATGCTGACAACTAAACACTATTGTAACTGTTTAGGCTAACGTTAGCTAGCTAGCGATGCTATCTCGTAAATTACATCATAATGGTATTCTTGATAATCAATAACTTACCTTCATAGTCATGAACACATTTTTTAAACACTTATATTTTAAAGCCTTTATTATTTCTCAACTCTACAGCTGTGCAGTAACATTCACTTTATAAATTCACTTTTCATAACATAAAGATTGCATGAAAAAATGTGCCAAATATGTGTCTCCTGGCAGAAAAGACTTTTAAGATGAAAATGACATGAAATTAACATTATAACCAGTAGATGGAAGCAGAGGATCACTTATCAGCTCAGTTGCCATTTCCGTGCCTGTTTTTTTCACGTCTTGCTTTTGAATATATTATTAAATTACTTAGTACTTTTACTGTACTGAAATATAAAGTATAGTGAGTGCAGGAAGTCTCATGTCATTTAAAAATTAATAAGCCCAGACACCAACAGCCTAAAAGGGTAAATTATTTAAATTCTTAACTAGCATTAAATATTTTGAAATATTTTTAGATTTAATTTGAAAACTACATTTTTTAATGTTTTATCTTTGTGAAGAGGCATGTTGGTTAGGACTCTCAGAACAAGGATGATGGCTCAGCCACAATAGCACTTCAGTGCTAGGGTTTTTATGTTCAGTCCAAACGGTCCCAAAGTGTACAAAAATCCCAAAGATACAAATGAAAAAAAAAAAAAAT